ACACATGCTCCGATAACTTTGAGCTAAATGAGAATAAGGATCACACGTGTTTTGCTCATGATTCTGTCTTGAGCACATAATGGGCTCTCAATACATTTTGTTGATTAAATGAACACGTACAGGCATATGCAGTTACACTGTTGCAGGAATGATACACATGAGTAGTCTTAGTTAGGGACATGCTAGCTCCTTGTAAGCAACTCCTAATTTTAGTGACTTACCTAATAGACGTTCATTTTTATTCATTTAACACTCCAAAGCAGATGTTCATAGTTGGAAGGCAGTTCTTTATGAAATAAGGCAGGGATCTGTGTTTCTTTGGTCTTGGGTCTTTGTGGTCTTTTAGAGCTTTATTGTTGTCTGTATCTTATTAGTGAGATGAAGGGGAAAGAAGGCTTGGAGGAGGCATTCCTGCTTCTAAAAAGCTTTGACTTAGAAGTGATCCCTGTCCTTTGCTTGCATTCCGTTGGTGTGAACCAGTCTCGTGCTGATGCTTAGATGTGTGGTGAGCTGGGACTTGTAGCCCCATGATCCTGGGTTTTCAGGTGCAGAGATGCCAGGGGTAGTGGTCCTTCAGACGCGGTCCTTCACGTGCTTGGCCTTCCATAGGCCGTTGCTGAAGAACAGCTTTTGGTGGAATTCTGAGGCAGAAGTTGGGTTTTAATACCTCTTTATTAAAGTGTAGCTTCCTGGTCTCTACCCCAGATTCTGCTGACACAGAATCTGCTTGTGTTGAGGTTTGAGGATGTGCATTTTCAGTAAACTCCCCTGTTGATTCTTATATCTGCTAAGAGTGGAGAAATCACTCAAAAACACATACTTGTGCCAAATCCATATTCAGCATGGCCCTACTAACTGTGGGCAAGGATGTTGGTAAACATTTACTGTGTTCTTTAACAAATATTTCTTGAGTAACCAGAGTATTCACAGCTTTGTGCTAGGCCCTGTAGGGGCAAAAATATATTAGATTTGACCCTGACCTTAAGGTGTTTACTAGTTGGGGAGAAAAGACATGTATAGATGGTAACATTTTATTGATTCTGAGTTGTACATTTTTTGCCATTTTAACATCTCTGAAATGAGTATGAGTTTTAAAATTGCCCTCAGCTAGGTGACAGTCATGACTGTTGTCATTGCCTACTTGTGCATGAACTTGGTCATAGCTGTTCATGTTGTAATTAATTCATGTTGTTATGAATTACGTGAGTTGGATGCTGTATTTGTTGGTCTTAATTACTAGGTTACATATCTTCAAAAGGATCTCACTGTGATATGACACTGAAACAGAAAGACAGGTACAAAAGAGTAGAATGACAGGATAAAAATCTGTGTTCTTCAGTTTAAAGAGTTCTTTCTATAAGAATAAAATGA